GTACCAATAAATATATATATTAAAAAAAAAACATGACCATGCCAGGGAAAGAGACAGATAGTCTTATGATCCCTAGCAGCTCACTACCCAACTGGGCATTCTTAAAGGAGAGGCATCCAGGCCCAGGGCAAAATAGGATTTAGTTCTTAAATTCAGACTTCAATTGTGACTGAAGGAAAGGCCAATATGGCTCAGAAACAACTAACCCCAAGGCTCTGACTTGAATAACTAGAAAGGTATTCTTTCTTTCTCATCAGAGTAAGATTGGAAAGATGGAAGTTGTCAGAGGAGCTGTGACCATGACAGCCATCTTGCCACTATGAGGGGAGAGGTCGGATGAGAAGATTTTTATGAGTAAAGTTTCAAGAGATAGGGAGAAGCCTGGTGTGGTAGTGTCTGCCTATAATCCCAGATATTCAGGAGGCTGAGGCAGGAGGATCAAAACCTTGAGTCTAGCCTGGGCAATTTAGTGGCTTAGCAAGACCTAATCAGAAAAAGAGAGGGCCAGGGATTTAGTTCAGTGGTGCCATGCCTGCCTGACAAGCACAAGGTCCTGAGTTTGAACCCTGCTACCAAAAAAAAAAAAAAAGAAAGAAAGAGAGAAAGAGAGAGAAGAAAGGGGAATGGAGGGGAAGGGAGGGGAGGGGAGACAATGCAAGCAACCACCAACCACTGGGTCCTGGTAACACCAAGCCCCCTGAATTCAACTGAGCCTGAAGCTGAAGAACTACCCCAGGAGTTTTCATGAACACAAGTCACCAATTCTCTTGAGCTGAGTTTTCTCATACTTGTAAATGGAAGAATTCTATCTAAGCTACTAATGCCCAGTCCCAGAAATACTCAACAACTAGCAGGTGGTTTTAGCAATCACCACCTTACTTATCTTCCCCAAAATCTTATTATCCTTAGAAAATCCATATTACTCTTATTTCACTGGTGAGGATACTGAGGCTCAGAATGGTTAAGTGGCTTGCCTGAGGTCATACTGGGGCAGATGTGGCACCAAATTCCTGAGCTTCTAGCTCTATAATTCTTTTTCTCCTCTTGACACCACTCTGGCTGCTTTGGAATCTGTACAGATAGCGGTGACCCACTCTTTTTCCCTGGACTAGAACAGAAGAAATAGTTCTCTCTGCTTGGAATGTCCCGGTCTACATCTCTACAACCTGTTAAAATGCAACCTTGCTGGACATGGTGATACATCCCTATAATCCCAACACTTGGGTGGCTGAGGCAGGAGGACTGCTGCAGGCTCAAGGCCAGCCTGGACTACATAGTGAATTCAAGGCCAGCATAAACTACATACCAAGACCTCTCTTAAAACAAAACCAAACCTCTTCTATAAAATTTATGACCAAGCCTTAAAAGATCCTGCACTGGTCATAAAAAGTCATATATGGTCCTAACCTGTAGATGGTTGTGTTTATATGCTAGACTGAAGCCGCCATGAAGGAGGAAGTCAGGGTGCAAACCGATACTCATCTTATATCCTGAATTTCCCAAACAGAGCTAATATTAAATATCCTGCTAGGCTCTTCCTACGAAGCCATTGAGAAGTTCCAGCAATGGCAGTATTTCCACATGTACCTCTTAGACTTCTCTAGTACAAGATATTTATGTGGCACCTCTCGTGCCATGGACAACTTGACAGTCTAGTGGAGACTTCATAGAATTAAAAATAAAATCCATGGCCCAGGGATTTAGCTCAGTGGTTTCACTGCCTGCTGTGCAGGAGCAAGGACCTGAGTTCGATCCCCAGTACCAAAATAAATAAATAAAAATAAAATAAAATCCAGCAGAATGACAGTTAACAAATGTTTTTAGCTCTTGTTGCTTTTGCTGTCTTCTGCCCTGCTGCCCCTCTGCCCTGCCACCCTACCTTGGAGCCAGCTGATTATGGACTGAAACCTCTACAAACTGTGAGCTAAATAAACCTTTCCCCCTTTAAAAAAATGTTTTTAAAAACCCAAATTTGGGATTACCCATGTATGTGCATCTTTATTAAAGCACTGAATAACAAGATCTAGCAGAAGATCAATTAACATCTTATTCTGAAGATGTGATGAACATAAATTATTTTTCACAAAACCTGTAACAACTTGAACAAGAATTGAAAATATCTGTGACTTCTTTTGGTGAGAAGATACAGGTTTGGCTTATATTACAGTAGCCTGTTGCCTACATTCATGATAGAAGGAATGATAAATTTCATTTAGAGATTAATGAAAATAAGAGATATAATTCTTTCATTCAAGTTCACAGACCCTGTTCTAATACATACCTAGGTACTGTACCATCACTTGTGATCCATTCTGGCTTTCAGGTCCTGGATTTGAGTTTTAGCTCTGCTATTTATTATCAAGGTGCTATGGTTTGAATATGGATTGTCCCCTCCAAAACTCATATTGGAGTTTAATCCCTACTGTGAGGTATTAAAAGGGTAGAAACTCAATCTTACTGTGCTGTTTATAGGTGGAATCTTTGGGAGATAATTAAGACTAAAGTTGGGAATGGGATGTACTCAGTGGCACAGCACTATGCTTAGCATGAGCAAGACCCTGCACGAAAAAGAAATAGATAAAGTCATCAGGATGGGGTCCTCATGATGGAATACTACTGGCCTTATAAAAAGAGAGCTCTTCTGCTTTTGTTATCCATTGTCTTGCATGCACTTGCCTCCCATCCTGACCATGTCTACTCACAAGACTTTCAGAATCAAGCAATTCTTTTTTTTTTTTTTTTTTTTGGTACCAGGGATCGAACTCAGGACCTTGTGCTTGCAAGGCAGGCACAATGCCACTGAGCTAAATCTCCAGCCCAAAGAAGCCCCCCACCCCACCCCCACCCTTCTGGTACCAGGGATAGAACTCAGCATCTTGTGCTTGCAAGGTAGGTGCAGCTCCATCCCTGCCCAAGATACATCCCTGGCCCAAGGAATTCTTGCCAAGAAACAAAAGCAAACTTGTTCCATTCCTCCATGTATTTGGATAAAAACTCATAATAAAGTCAGGTACAATTCCAAGGGGAGACACTGAAGGAGGACCAAGCTGGGAATATAAGGAATTGCACATGAGCTGCAGCATATTTACTCTGCATGGAGGTCACAAGATGACACACATTTATTCTGTATGAAGGCCATAATCATCTCACCATATTGACCTAAAAATGTCACACTGTCTGGTAGACAGTTGGGCATCTTAATTTTTCTGTGAACCAACACTGGTAAGTGGGCAATAAGTGGTAAAACCTTTTTCAAAAAAAAAGAGAGATCAGAAGATATAAATATGCTCTGCCTGTCTCTTACCATATGATGCCTTGGGACTCTGCCAGTAAGAAGGTTATTATCACTAAATGTGGCCCCTCAACTTTGGGCTATAGCATGAACTAAAATAAGCCCCTTTTCTTTACAACTTACCCAGTCTGTGGTATTGTTATTAGCAACAAAAAATGGACTAAGACACTGATGACTAAGTCAGTCCCCACTGACCTTAGTTTCTTCATTTGAAAAATGAAGGAATTTGCCAAGTGTAGTGGTGTACACCTATAATCCCCACACTCAGGAAGCTGAGGCAGGAAGATCATGAGTTCAAGGCCAGTTTTGGCTACACAGTGAGTCCAAGGCCAACTTGAACTACATAGTGAGACACTGCCTCAAAAAAAAAGGAGAGAGGAAGAAAGAAAAAGAAACAAAGAGAAAAGAAAAGAAGAAAAATGAGGAAACTGGAACAGATTCTTTCAGAGAGTCCTACCAGGACCTTTCTAGATTCAATGTCTCTTTAATTGTAGAAAGACTCTCAATAAGTGAATGAGATAAACTGTGCTTCTCCAGCACCAGCTAACACCCAGGTGAACTGACAGGCATCACAGCCGATACCCTGTAGCAGGGAAGGCAGGACCTGATACAGTACATCTTCTCAGCTGGGTTCTTCCCGTCCAGCCTAGCCCAGGGCCCAAGGGCTGTGCCTTTCACTAACTGTTCAAAGCCCATGACCTTGGCCAAGAGCAGCTGCAGGGGCTCTTTATAGTTTCGGAAGCTATCCAGAGACTGCAGGACATTGCAAAGGACCTGGATCTCATGCTCCTCCCTCCAGGAAGGCTTCTTCTGCATGATCTTAATGGCCTTTGGAAGGAAGTGACCCTACAGAGAGGAGACCAGAGTAACACACAAGATCCAGCAGTGTCACACATGAGACAGCTGGTAACTCCCCATACTCCTACTTATATTCTTTCTTGTTCTCAAATATAACAGTGATGGACATGCACTGAGAACTCCCTGTGTGCGGGGCATCTTATATGCCCATTTCACTGTATCCTCACCTATTCCAGGAATCATTATTCCCATTTGACAGATAAAAGAAACTCAGGTAGGATTACAAGTAGATCTGCCACATGCCAAGGCTCCTAACTCTAGGTGACACCAGGATCCTAGGGCTTATGGGGCCTTGGCACATCTGCTTGACACAATCATACTGTAATCAGGAATACTTCTGCCCTTGTCTCAGCCAGGACTACCTTCTCTGTGCTGAAGCTAGGCATCCATGACTCACTCAGCCTCCACTTGTAGGCATTGTCTATGACAATGAATTTTCCCTCTGTGCCCTCTTCTCTCCCTCAACTAATATGCACAGAATTATCCTCAGCTCTAGGGTTCTGTGGCTTCCAGATAAGGGCCCTGTTTTCTCATGTCTGAAAGGTAAAATTTAGGTAATCTTCAACAATGCCCAATGCCAGACCCTGGGTGGAAAACTGAAGAAATGCAGAATTTGGATGACTTATATAATTAAGCTTCGTGCATGAGAGGATATGAGAAATCTAACTGAGGTCAGGAGAGCTGGCAACAGAAGCCATAGATTGGGGCCCAAGGCAGTAAGGGGAGGAGCAAGAAATGGGCATTGGTGGTCCTAGTACCAGTTTTAAAGTTCTATTCTTTCCCTTTTTCCTGAGAGAAAAACTAACATTACTGCTCCAGACCAGGGTCAAATCAGGTCTGTATTAGTGAGAACTTCAGCTTTCTCTATAAATAGGCAGATTCCTTTAAATTTAAAATTGGATTTTAAATTTTAATTTAATATTTAGGATTTGGTGGGTAAAGTGAGAAAGATCACAATTATTCTTGAAATTCAGAGAACAAGTTGTACATCCCAGAGCCTCACATGGACATGAAGACATTCCCTCACCAGAATGGGAAAAATTTCAAAGGGCATCCAATACCTGGGTGAGGCATAGGAGTGCCCACCCTCTTTTGGATAGTTCAGGGAAGAACCAGAATTCACACACTGGTCAAGGTTCTTACTACCACCTGCCTTCTTTCTCCTAGGTCTGGGGCTCTTAAATCCTCTTCTTTGCTTTCTGTTGTTTTCCCACAGATCCAAGCCCAGAATCTCTCCCCAACTTGTTCTGCTCAGCTATAGTGACAACTAGTTCAGGGACGCTCATAGTCTTGGAATGCCAGGGATGGAGAGAACCACTATCATCAGCTACTTTATAGATAAGGAAACGAAAGTGGCTTGCTCAAGGAGGACACTCTGGATTGGTGGCAGAGCCTGGACCAAAATCAACTCTCCTGATGCCCAGCCCAGTGTTTCTTCCAGGCCATTGTACAAAGAGAAAATCCACAGAAAGATTAGAGCTATGCATACCTCCTCTGCAATGAAGTCCATGGTGTCAAATGTAATTCGCCCTTGCTTCTTTTTCTGAAAGAGGCAGGGAGAGGGGAGAGAATGAGGACAACTCCTCCTGGAACTCGGCATCTAAGCCCTTCTGTTTACCTGGGCTATGGGAAGCCTCCTACCAGCTGGCCCCTTCATGTTCACCTTTGCTCAAAAGCCCTAACTAAACAATACAACGTGCCTAGTACTGACAACATCATTATGAAGACAGAAAAACATGTGGGTGGAAAGGGGGAGGGGAGTGCAGAGAAAACACAGAAGGATAGAGGGGAAAAAAGGAAGAGGGAAAAGAAGCAATCAAACAGAAAAGTATAAAGGAGGAATACCAAAGAAGGAACAACTGAAGCCAAGCTTTAAGTGGCCATAGTGAGCCAAGCACAGTGAATTGTACTGTTCTTATCTTATTTCATGTAGTCATTAGGACAAGATAGATTTTATATATATAACTGCTTTTTATTTTTAAAATTTTATCCCATTTCCCCCCTCCCCATATACAAAAGCATTCTTTCCATTTTTTCCTTCTATTTTCACTTTTAACAGATTTTTTTTTTTTTTTTTTTTGGTACTGGGGTGCGAACTTTGTATTTCAGGCTGGCCTTGAACTCACTAGGTAGCCCAGGCTGGCCTTGATCTCTTGGCAGTTCGCCTGCCTCAGCCTCCAGAATGCTGGGATTACAGGCAAGCGCCACTATGCCCAGCTAAAGCAGATTTTATTAAGCCCCATATTGGATTTGAGATGAGCAAAGGAACTTGCCCAAAGACCATTTACAGCAAGTAAATGGCCCAGCTGGGATCTGAACCCTGATTTTTCTAGAGCTTTGTAAAGAGGAGGGGGAAAGAGATCTTGGGGATCAGCTAATATAGCCCTGTCTCCCAAGAGACGAAGAGATGATGTGGAAAGAGTAGAGAATATGTGCTAAGAGGTGGGGAAAGGAATGAGACAAACCAGAGACCCATTTTCCACTCTGGGAATGCCTCATATTGTTCCCTAATGTCCATGAGGATCTCTGCCTTCTCCCTTCACCCCTTTATCACTTGAGCATCCATGTGGTTTTTGTCAGGGAGGTTACTGAAAGAGGTAGTGCTCAAAAATAACCAGATTCATTCTCTCTATTGGCTCTCTCCACCTGACCCTGTCTCCAAGCCTCAGATTCCCACTTGACAGTCACATGAGCTCTACAGGGTGCCCTTGCATAGACTTCTGCTCTATTCAAGGACACTCTGACTAGGCAACGTTATTGGGCTTAGCCTCAACATCTCCAACACCAAGCCTGACTCTGGGTCTTCTGCTTCCAATTGCCCCATGCATCAGCCCAAGTCTTTCAGCAGTCACATCCTCCTGACCTCCAGAAACCACTGCTTTGCCATTTCACTCCACCCTGAAAACCAGAATGTCTGTCCTGAGAGCAAACCTAAGTCCCCTGAGTTACAATTCTTCTACTCCATCTTTCCCCATCTCATGGCTCAACTACAGGGTTCTGCACTTGTTTGATTTGGCCAGCATGATGTCTTAAAGTATGTAGATGAATCTGAATTTCAAAGAGGCATGACCTTCAGCTGGCCCAAAGGCCTTACTCCCTCCTATATCTTTTTGTTTTTGTTTTTTTGTTTGTTTGTTTTTTGGTACCGGGGATCGGGGATCTCAGGACCTTGCACAGGCAGCAGCACCACTGAGCTAAATCCCTGGCCCTGCCCTCCTATATCTTAACTCAGCCCTCCTATATCTTAACTCAGCCCTCCTATACTTAATTCCTCCTATATCTTAAATCAGAGACCAATGGAAAGTTGCCTCCTACCCTCTCTTCAGCTACAATCCTTCAGAAACCATTTCCAGAAATTCGTTGGAATAAATTCCTGTATGGAGGGAGCTAGAACTGGGTCTAGTCACTCTTGGCACAAGAGGGAAATGGGCAGGGCTTGTCCAGGTATGAGCTGGGGAAATGCTAAAGCCCCAGATAACACACAAAAGATACTTTTGGGGGGCCAGGACTAGTTAACAGAATGGTGACCAACTTTTCATCATTTACAAACCAAAAAAAGGCAAACGATCTATTACTGGGATAAAATATTTTAAGTTGGAACATTTTAGAAAAATCTAGAAAGAATGCCAGGGATTTAGCTCAGTGGCACCGTGCTTGCCTTGCAAGCACAAGATCCTGAGTTTGATTCACAGTACCACAAAAAAAAAAAATCTAGAAAGAAGGGTATCATAGTGAACAAAACCATAAAAATGTTCCCATCATTTAGAAAGAAAGTAGAGATGATATACAGTTTGAGGCATTCAAAAAACCTCAACTCTTGGAACCAGAAGAGATCCAGAGTAGCAAAAGCAATCCACAGTCTGACTTTAAGTTCTACTACAAAGCTACTACAGTGATATAGGGCGGGGGGGTGGGGAGGTGGATTTAGCTCAGTGGTTCCGGTGCCTGCCTCTAAAGTGCAAGGTCCCGAGTTCGATCCCAGTACCAAAAAAAAACCAAAACAAAACAACACTAAGATTTCATCTTATACCAGAAAGAAGGTTAATCTTCCAGAGCAAATAATAACAAATGCTGGCATGGCTACAGTGAAAAAGGAACCCTTCTATATTGTTAGTGGGAATGCAAACTAGTACAACCATTATGGAAATCACTATGGAGATTTCTCAAAGAACTAAAAAATAGAAATTCCACTTGACTCATCTATTCCCCTTCTAGGTATCTTCCCAAGAGAGATAATAACATCCGACTGGGGATTTAGCTCAGTAGTTCTGCCGCCTCCCTCGAAAGCACAAGGTCCCAAGTTTGATCCTTGGTACCAAAAAAAAAAAAAAAAGAAAGAAAGAGAGATAATAACATCATATTAGAGTGACACATGCACATCAATATTTATAGCAGCACAATGCACAACAGC